TGAGGAATTGCGTATGAAAAATAGGAAATGCAGACATTATTCGTACTCCACAGATTAACACACCACAAAAAATATGTTTTGTAACTCAGGGGTTCCTAACCCCCGGTAAGGGGACTGGTGCCAGTCCGTAGGTCATTAGGTTCCGGGACAAAAACTTACTTCAGTTTACTTCATTCAAAAGTAAACCATTCATATCCTTTTACTTTTGTCATTTAAAGATGATCTGTCAATGTTTCAAAACAACAGGTCAAAGGTCATTCAGACTCTGATACTAACAGAAGAAAGTCTGGAAGCCATTAATTATGAACAATATGAACAAATAACACAAACCTGAGACAATAATTCATATTCACAAACTCAGCCACTCTTGAGTCCAAAGGGTTGGGTCCCTTGAGGTTTTTTTCTACAAACCGATTTTCAGAGAGACAAAAGGTAAATGAGCTATTTTTCCCATTGATTGACCTTTAGTGAAAAAAAACAAAAGGTCTTAGTTTGCCAGAAGCACTGCCTCCATTCAGCTGAGCACTGTGATCCATACTGCAACACCAAGAGCGAGTATTGATTTCAGATCAGTCTCTATTGTGGTTTCACCACACAGGTGGACAGAGTGTTAACGGCGTGCTAACAGTGGGACACGTGGAAATGACCTGTGGCCCGGTCATCTTCTCCTGACTGTGTGCTAATGCTTTGATTTCTTGTCCTTGCTGCGTCCCATCTGCCTGTGTGGCTGCCTGATATTCAGCACACACAGCTCGCCGCCCCACTGATTATGGAGCTATTTGTTTGGGGGGACGATTTGGCCCGTGCCGTAGCGCTAATGCATTATGCAGGAAATATTACGCTCCTCTCTGCAGGAGAAAAGCAATAAATGTCCTGCTTTCATCTGTTATTCTAGGAAAATTAAAGCATGGCGATGTGCCTTTCAAGTGCCAGCTGATGGCTTTTTATGATGCTTTTTTCTGATAAGGCCACTTACGGTTGTAACAACCAACACTGTTGTTATGGTTTCTCCCACAGTTTTGAAGAAAAGCCACATCCAGTTGTCATCATCAACGGCAGAAATATTCAGCTTTAAATCACAACTCGACATTTAGGGCAAGGTGGTTTTTTTTGTCTCTCAATCTTATCTTCGTGAGAACCGATTACTCAGCATGACAACCGTTGTTCAAGGTGAAAGCCATTGAACATATTTTATTTAAACATTCCTGAATTATTGAGGAATAATTATCTCCCTGGAGATGAAACCAGTCGACTGTCTGTCATCGTTAAAGCTCCGATCCCTCTGTGATCTTCAGTTGTTCGCTTGTCCACGTTGTTTTGTCTTTCCTTAAAACTGTAGTTACTCCCAGGACCTGTGCATGAGGACAGAACTCGACCTCCTACAACTCTTATCGTTCCAGATTCATATCCCCAGGTGTGCACGTGTGACGTCTGTTCGGGGAAGAATCCTCCTGTGCACGAGTTGCATCTTCCTTTTTGTGGCTCAGTCTCTCTACTTGTCTTTCATCTCTCCTCTGCTCGCTCCTGGTTCACTCATCTGTTCTTCACTTCCATCCTGCTATTTCTGTCTCTCTTGTGATTTTCTTCTTTTTGCTCTTTGCTCCCTTTTGCCTCGGTCCATCCCTGCTTTGACCACAAGACGTACAGTATCTTGACACAGGAGCATCACAGGTTCTATGAACATCAACCTGCCGTCACTTCTTGGATTTTTGTGCCTGTGAACACATTTGTTTCTGACTGATCCTGTAGAATCTGACTGGTCTCACTCCAGACAGCAGTGATGTTTCAGGATGAGAGGAAAGTATTTTTTTTTATCTGTAAATGTGAAATGGAACTCAGTGGAAAGCTTTTGAAGCAGTGTGTGATGAATAGTTTCCCACAATTCTTTGACGTTCTTCTTCCCCGTGGTGGAGTAAAAATATTCTGCATAGATTTTGGCCAGGTGCAACTGGGTCTCTAAATACTGCAGTCATCAGTCGCACACACACACAAGAAACACGCATACACACAAACACAAACACACACACAATCTACTCTCTCTCTCTCTGAACCTCCAAGATTCCTTCCTCATTTCCTCTGATCTTCTCAACATCAATCCCTCATTCCTCAAAGCCAAAGCGAGGGGACGGCAGATGACAAAAATAAGATGACAGATTACCTTCTATATATAGAGCCAGTCTTGTGCCACTTTCCTGATTCATGGTCGTTCCACGCCCTGAAGACATTCGATATACCTTTTGGGTTAGCAATGCAAATCGACGCTCTCCCTCATCAGAGAGCTGCTAAACATCCAACAGCTTTGACCATTGACTTTCAACAGATTTACGAAGAGATCTATGAGAGCAGACGGCTTCTCAGCAGAGCAGATTAAGTCATTTTTTTTCATTTATTTCATGTTCGTAATAACGTTTTTTCACATTGAAAATGATGGCGAATGAGGTTTTGAAGGGTCTAACAGTCTGGGCTTCTCCTTCAGGGGCATAAAAGTTTCCCTCTCTGACATCCCCTCAAAAAAAAAAAAGAAAAATCAAAAGGCCTTTAGAAAACTACATGCATAAACACACAACACAAACAGAAGCAGTTATAAATGTTATTATTTGAGTTGAACAAATGGAAATAAATACTCATCTTGGTTTTTGGAACATTGTCATATTCCCCGCACAGTGTGACGTCAAATGTATGCGTCACAAGTTGACCCCCTCCTCCTCATGTGGGTCAGCTGGTCCACACACCCCCAGTGGTGTTCCGACACAAAAAGTAAAAAGAGAAACACATTTAAATCTCACCAAATCATAAATGTTTTAATCTTTGTTTACTGCACAGCTGTGTTTCCAAATGAAATGTTGTTTCGTGTTATTGGTTTAAGAAGTTAAATTTTTTGTATCTTTATTTGAGTTAGCAGTTTTATTTGTTTTGTCCACTGGGATGAAGAAAATAATGAGAAGGAAATAAAACTTGCTGCAGGCATTTCCCTGCTGTAACTCACAGAACCTAAAGACGTAGTATCAGTAACAGTACTCAGCGTCTGCAGGTACACGAATGAAAATACATGTGTTAAGTGACTGTGTGTTGGTGTGTAGTTGTGTTGTGTTGAGCTGTGAGGTGTACTACTCAGTTTGGACACTAGGGAAGACACTGATTAAATACATGATCTTGGTTCTCTGTCTTTATTGCTTGTGCGGTTTTCTTTTTTTTTTACACACTTTTATTACATTTATATTTTTTCTCTTCTTATGGTCTGCATTCCTCGCTCCTTTTTTACCATTTTGCACCTCCCCTGTGGTGCTCTGACCCAGGGTAGAGGCAATTCACACTTTGAAAAGCCCTTGTTAATGCAGTTCATCCAACGCATTCAGAACTTGACATGTGACCTGCCCACCATGGAGTGTCATCCCACTGGTAGACCAGTGATATTCACCCATTAGGACGTGTCATCGGTGCTGAACGCTGGTCTGTTGTAAACGTTTTTCTTCTTAGAGACGGTTGAGTTCTCCGGTGCCATGTGACAAGTGGCGACATTGTCTACAGTTATGCAGCCAAATGAATGCCTGTCACCACAGTTTTAACATCTCATCTCCACTGATCCATGTGTTGACAAACAGCCAGGCAGCTTCTCAGAACGGAACAGTGTGAGAACATTTGTCTAAATGACTGAAAGAAGGAGGTCACATGATCATAAACGTTCACGATACAGATCCAGGTCCATATTTTCAGGAAGTTATAATTAAATTATAATTAGAAAGTTAAAAACCAGAATCAGAGAAATGATTATAGTCATTGGCCAGAGCTGTGTGTGAGTGATTCTGTAGAAAAGTTGAACATAAAAAATGCTTTGTGTCTCTTAGTTCTACTCCTGGAGGACGACTGTTTAATTTGCATGCAGACTGCAGAACAACACACTGACATTGAACAAGTCATGTGATCCTTTCTTTAAACAGACCTTTTATTTTAATACATTTTGTTTTCAAGTACATGAAATGAATTCTTAATAAAAGCATTAATTTGAATAAAACTGAACTGAAATTGTTGGACTTCACTGAAGGTCATTAAGTCTCTTCAGTCTGGACTTTGAAATACTGATAATATTTTAAATAATAATAATAATAATAATCTCTGTTCTGTGCTGTCTGCTTCTCTACCTGGTATAACTACAGACTATACTACAGATACACACACACACACACACATATTTATATTTATATTTTGATTCAGGTTGTTGCTTTTGCTCTGTTTTCTCCTCTACTTGACATGCACTTTCATCTTGTGTCCTGCTCATCACCACATCATCAGCATATCGCTGTGTCGGTCTCTTTCTTCTGTCGCTGGTTAGCGTCACTCCTGCTTCACGTCACCTCTAAGTCCTTTGATCTTTTCCAGGGAAGTCAAAGAGTGAACAGGACAGGAAAAGGAAACATAAAAATCCGAGGTGAAGATGCGTTTCTTTTGGTCTTTAATTAATGTTGTTGAATATATTTACTTCAAAACCAAAAAAGCAAGGCCTCAGTTAACTCATGGACCTCTGACTACACACTTGATTAGATTTTCTTCTTCTACCCCCCACGTTGTTGCCGGCAGCATCATTTTTCCTCCTGTTTCTCTTTCATTAAGATGAAATTGGAGCGGTGGATTTTGTTTTTTTATACTGAGAGGAGAATTTCGTTAGCCAGCTGACGTTTCACTCAGTTTGATTTATTATAATGTGTTGGTGCCTTTGTTGCCACGTGCAGGAAGTGCTGGGCAGTTGTACAGTATTGAAAAATACTTGTGGTACTACCAACTATGACAAAATATGACAGAATTTCAACTTCCAACCTATTGCTTGAACATACTAAAGACCACAAATGCATGTTGTCATATTTGTGTGCCAATAGTCTCCATAAATTTGTATGACATCATCAGGATGTATAGCATGCATTGGTTGATCAGTGGGAAAATTCTCGTCTCGCCCATGGTGGAGGCCTGGGTTCGATTCTTAGCTTGAGTCCTCTATTTTTTTTGGTGGTCCCATAGTGTAACGGTTATCATGTTTGCCTTATACACAGAAGGTCCTGGGTTTGATCCCCAGAGGAACCATATACAGTACTTAATGACGCGTATGTGGCAATGTGTTGGTTGCAAAGACAATGATTTTTTTTTCATTCTGGGATGAATAATGGGACTCATTCAATATAGTCTATGTACATGTTAAAAAAAATTATGGTTGAATTTGTGGTGAATCAGTGCAGTATGTTCACTGGGAATTGAACAATATGTGTTGGTGCTATCGCTGACATATGAATGGACTCAGATGGAGAGAAAAGCACAATCTGTCTGAGTGATTTGCTGTTGTCTGACTCATACAGTATGCATACAGTTCCGGCAACTGGTCCCAGTTGGCCGCACAGTTTTGGCCATGACATGATGCTCACTCATGTTGTTGTTGTTCAAATACATAAGGTGTAAAAAGTGTGTCACGCCACAGAAGGACAATGATAATTGGAAATGATTCATGACCCCTTACATTTCCAGAAAAGTTGGTACATATTATTTTTATGCACATAAAATGTATTTGTTGTTCAGGAATCGTATCGTTAGAAGGTCAATGTGTGTGGTCAAATGGCCTTCAGTCATAGCACCAGGTTTTGCCATCAACCTGGGAGTGGACTGGAATTTAACCCACAACTTGTGTGAGGCAACTGCAACCGCCATGATAGAGAATTTCAAACAGGCTCAGAACAAACATCACTGCTCATCACAGACTAATGTTTCAAAATGGAGCAAAATTTGAGACAAAGTTTATTCTGGAAACACAGTCTATTTCTAATATTGGTTTTCATATGTGTGAAAATGTTTATCTGTGTAGAATTAAACACCGTAGGTCTATGTAGGTCATATTTCTCATTTCAGCAGACGTACAAACATGTTTGGATAAGGGTTTGTGAATTCACCTTTTTAAAAAAAAAACATAATTCACTTTAAAGATTATCACATCCATTCAGATGTTCTCTTTTGGTTTTGGATTACATTAACATGTTAGCTAAAATTGAACACCTTTCCTCGATCACTGTGAATGTCCTGGAGACACGTTGTACTGTTTTGTATGCTGCACCGTGTTCTCCACTGTGGCAGAGGGAGCAGCTGAGAGTCACACATCACAGGGGTCTCCTCCGTTTTATGATTTTATTCATACAAAGTGAACTACAGAATGAATTATATTAACATACTAAACAAGAACCCACCGACTCCCTTATGATATCGGCAAAAACATGCATTTAAATGAGTAATTATGAAGTAATTTCTCATGTGTAGCAGGGATAAGACATGACTGTCCAGGCTCGCCTCTGAGACCCTGGTATAATATCAGTGTTTTAGTTGACAGTGAAACCTTGGTTAACATTAAGGCTATTAGCATAATTATGTAATATTGGTACGATTCTGGTGCGATGACGCAGTGCCTGGGTTTCGTACCAGATGACGTGACAAATGCCTTTAACCCAAACGGCAACATATATCGGTATTGGTTGATATCGGAATCATAAAATTTAAATGTTTGGACGATATCGCCATATCGGATATCGGCAAAAAGTTAATATCATACATCCCTTGTTAACATTATTCAAACTAATCCATTCTTACAGTCAGGATCCAACAGACCTATTTTGTCACTAGCAAATATTTCCAAGACCAGCCGTATTTTTCAAAAGATAATTGTTGTGGGAAAGAAGTGTTCAAATTTGTCTTAACACTGTTTCGTACTGTGAAGTTATGGATTACCTTTAAAGAACAAACACTATCCATCTTAGGAAAACAAACACTGATGGTGTTTGTTTTATGAACACTCAGCTGCTCACCTTTATCTTCATCCTAACACAGCAGAGTGTAACAGTGTGTGTGTGTGTGTGTGGGTGGTGGATAGATCATTAAAATAAAAGGGGACATTCCCAGAGCCATTAAAAGCTGCTGTATGCTGCAGGAAGATAACTTTGATTGGCGTGTACTGAATACGTTCATTCATCATTCCAAAACCGCCACAAGTGATTTTAAACCCAGCCATCCACCAACCTCATCTCCCAAACCCTGGCTCTCCAAAGCCATAAATCACCATCTAGCCACAGGCCACTGGGCACAGAGCAAGGTGACACTCCAGCCTCCCACCAAGTCCTGGAGAGGTGGAAGTAGGAGGAGAGAGACCGGGAAAAGAAAAGAGGGATGAAGGAAAGGCCAAAAGGTTGAGAACACAGAGGCTGCAGGGAGATGGAGGGAGATTGTGTGATCTATCTCCTCAGCCATCGCAGTGGGAGGGAAATCTTTGAAGTCAACTCTATTATCCTCCGTCTTGTTGAGACACAGCATTCTCTCCACACACAGGATGGTTCCCGATACCACAGAGAGAGTCATTTCCAAGTGAAAATTTGGATGAATAGAAACGGCATCACACAAAAAAACAGAAAATACTTGAACATTCTGCCTGGAACTTTCCGTGACGTTTATCGCCGGAGGTTCATGGCACGACTTCCGGCCTCGAGGTCTGGAGTCTTTGCGTGACTATGAGTTTGTACCACATGAGTGCCAAGTGACAGAGGGCGTCACCAACAGTATGCTCTTTGACCAGTAGGGGCTGTCAAACAATCTGCCGTCAAAACAACACATTGAAGGGGTCACCCAGGGTCTGATGGGTGAAATAAGGTTCCGTTTTCTACTGAAGAATTTTCATCACTTTCCTTCTTCATTTTGATCGAACAAACCAGTTGTTAACACCGTCTGTGATTGGCTTTGATGGTGATCAAAGACTGTGATCCTGTTTTTAATCTTAAGAACAGAGATCAATGTTTGGACGACAGGCTGAGAGTTTGATTATAGACCTGTACCTGTCACGTTCACTTCATCCCTCCATGTTACGTTTGTGTTTCCTTTATTTTATCTGAACTCAAACTTAAATAGTGACAGGACTGAAGAAGCAGCTCTTTTTCTGTAGACTGTGAAAATATCTCCAGGGAAGGGCGAATGGTTATAACCTGACATTTTATGGAGATGTTTAATTAAGAGTTGTGTAATTAATGAATTAACAATTCATTTCTAATTAAAAAGCTGTTAATGAACAGTTTTATACTACAAGCATGCATTTCCAGATAAATTAGTACACGTCCTAATGATGCAATAATAAGATAGTAAATGTCTAGTTTACTAACACATTAGTGGATATACAGTATGTGGGATTATTTTTCTAGATTAGCCTGCCTGCAGTCCAGATTTGGTTCCTATTGTAACTGATTTTTCACACCTTTATTTGCAAGAATCGAAGAAATTACTATTTTTAGTAAAATACAAATTTGCATTGCATTTTTATATTGAGAATTCTCTTGAATAAGTGCTGCCATAAAGTACAGCATTCTTTGACTACACTGAGGAGAGTGGTCGCCCGACCATATCAACTTTACATACATCGCATTTGTATCTTTTTTAATCACATGAACTCCTAGAGTGCATTTGTTCAGTGTTTCAGCCGTTACAGTGAGAAAACTGTCTGTGAAATACTCACTAGCAGGTTAGTAGCAGGTTTTCCATGAGAGAGTAACAATAGCGCAGTCCTTATTAATCAGCCTTTAAATGTAATGATCTCATCTAAGTGGGAGCAGAAGGTTATTATAGCAGCATATCAGGGAGTTGACTCATTTAACCCGGGCTGCACCCAGTCTTATTTCATGCGAGGTGCAATAGACAGAAAATCAAAATCCATTTAATTAATCGTCAGCTAAAGTTTAATGACCCCTTGTGCATTGGAGGAGGAAACGCACGGCTATTCTTGTCACTGTCGGTTGGCACAGTCGAACTACACATTACTGCATGTTACCTTGTTTCATTCAGCACAGATGAAGTCATTTCGACCTCATATTTATCACCTCCTGAGTGAAATGAAGCAGGACTAGAGGATGCAGCGGTATGAGATTGACCCAGCAGGCTCGGTGGAGAAGGTTCAATACCGCCATCATTTTATGTTTTTCAAGTTAAGGAGGCGAGGCTGGAGAAGCCATTCATCAGCCCTCAACAGTGACGATGCTGGCCTTGTGGAGAGCTGTGAGAGGAGCACAGCAGGCAGAGCAGGAATACATGGAGTTCCTACTCTGATATCAATTTTTTCATATTCAGCATAGCGATGTGTGGATGCTGCTGCTGGAGTCTGAACTGTGTCGTGTTCTTCTTTCACTGTTGTCAGCTATTCTGAAGGAGAGTAGGGTTTAAGGTGGTATCCTATCAGGTGGAGGTGATTTTTTTTTTGTTTAATTTCCCAACAGGTTTTTATGTCGTAGACAGGGCAGATAAATAGAGTTTTTGTTTCACAAATCACCTTGAGATGAAAATATCTCCTCCAGGTCTGGCATCAATCCAGCTTCAGAAACTTGGATTCGATCGACGTAATCTCATGAGCAAAAATAACTCAAAAAAAGAAAAACTCAACAAACTGTTGAGGAATTTGACAGTGTTGTCAAATGTGTGTTGTTGATTCCACTCTTGCAAATATTTCACAATATGTTCCATAATAAAAATTGATCAATTGGATTTTTCACACATCAATGACATTGTTGATTAACCATGACTAATCCACCGCTGGGACATTTTTAGCATTTAAACATCAAACTTTTCCTGAATGATATCCAGATCTGACAAATTTGACACTTTAGTTTATTATATTTTAGCTTAGCTTACTTCTTGGTTCTTTAGAAAACATACTAAGTTTTTGCAGATGGTGTTTAAAGTGTGTTTTTTCCCAACATGAGGCCAGAGACAGAGAGACAAAGAGAGAGAGAGTGAGAGACAGTGTTACCGTCACTGTTACTCCCCTGCACCATTTGTGTCACACAGAGTAACGGACACACGGACGGACGGCATATGAGCAGTGATTTCCTGATGCCACCCACAGATGGCCTGTGTCATGTAAAAAAACCTGTCAGGTCTGACACAGAATGTTAAACTTCAGAATTTTAACATGTTTTTTTTTTGGTTTGTCTGCAGAGTTACATGCTCTGTTTGTTTTTTTTTCTGACGATGACATGAATGTTCAGCTATGATGAAGCAGAGAAACTCTGATTGTGTTT